ACTGCATAACTTCTCATATATTATGTCTTGCTTGTAACAGTATCAATTAAAAAGAATAAAGACTAGAATTAACCAGACTAAAAAGATATCTATGTCGATTGACTTTATTAAAGACGAGTATTTATACTAAATGTGAGACACTCTTCAACTGAGATCGTAAAACTTTTCATAGAGGCTTATGAATGACAACTGAGGCAATAAGAGAGTTAGGACGAATTGGGTGCCTTTGATAAGACGATGATCCCTAATAACAATGATTGATCAGAGTTATTGGATACGCGTACCTTAATATGCAGTTCCTGGTAATTAGCTTAAATAATGATCCGTACAGTTGTTTCAAAGTAACAAGCTGAAGTCGAATAATTGCCAGTTATTGTTTCATATGTGGTTAATAGTTGATCCACTAAGTATGAATACAACAACCTTTTTCTTTTCTTTTATATTCATACAATAAACAGGTCTTAACTTTTGTTATAAAAGTTCCTGATCTTTTATCTTTACGCCTTTACGAACTTAACAATTGATCTTTTAATAAAATCTGGTGGTCACTATACTACTCAAATTTTGCTTAAACGCATACCTTATTCAAACTCTTGCCTTATAGTCAGTCAACTCCACAAGTTCTAACACAAAAATTACAATGCTGTGATATTATCAATGAAAAGTAGTTAAATCGAGAAGTTAGAAATGCAGCAAGATGAAATATGTATCTTTGTAATCCGCTTATTAACAGAATAAGGAAGAGATCCATCGCAAAAAGGGAATTAACCCTTAAACAAAAGAATAAATTTTGTCAACCAAACTACATCCAGTAAATTATATTAATATGACTGTTGTCAATTACCTTAGACTATAAATGCCATGAATCGGTGCTGTAGATTAATACGAGGTATTATGTTAATACCTAAGATGACGTTGGCTTATGTACAAAATATATTGATTATATTGCGTCAAAGGATGTAATTTTCTTCGATATAACGTAGAAATACGACAGAGAGGACCATCTTGTGCGGAAGAGGCAACCAACTGTATCCACTATGAGCGATAGCTCTGATTCTTGTCTGTACTTGGCTGCTGAGTATCTAAAATATCCGTTAGAATATGATTTATAGCCAATTCCTCCATTGTCGACACGTTGTTATTCAAGTTTATTGTAAAGATAACACCACATCTTGTACCAAGCAATTTATACGCTCTGAAAGTTGATGCTCCTTCTCTTTTTGCTATCTTTTGCACAAAGACCAAGCAAGATGCTCTGACTGTCTATGATTTTAGTGGTGACGCAATAATATCTAGACAAATGGCCACAGGGTCTAAGGATGCCATGTTTGGCTCTTTCTTTGGTCTGATCGCAATCAAAGATGTATGTAACAGCTATGGGTTAGAATTTGCTCACAGCATATGCGTGCTGCCTGGTTTAAATCCTGCCTGTATAAATGGTACGGTGAAAAAACTGATTCCTGTCGAGACGTGTCTGTCGTAGAACAATGCCTGCTTAAGGACTGACATTGAGATAAACGATTGTAATC